AGGGAGGGAGGGAGGGGGGGAGGGGGAGAGAGAGAGAGAGAGAGAGAAAGTAAACAGACATCCACAGATGCTTTCATTGATGAAGGAGTAAAGGGCAGGCGCAGATCAGGTGAGTTTGTCAGCTATGGGAAGTTCTGGATTACCTCCTGAGAAGGGGGAAGGGGTCTTGGAATGGGGACCCTATGTCTTCTATCAAGTCTGTATTCCTTTGTCCATGTTGTATGTTCTCCGCAGCCTGGCCCTGGGTTTACCCAGCCACCACATTCACTCTGATGGAGCACCATGTCGGCCCAGCTGCTCTCGTACTAGCGTGGGAGCCACCCACGCGTTCCCACCGCCATCTTGGTCATGGCGCTAATCCTTCTCCTTTGTTTGCCTCAGCCTCCCCATCTTCAAGGGCAGCTCAGAACCACCTCCACATGGAGGAGACAGCTCTTCCTAGTCATCCTCAGTGACTGCCCTGACCTTGAACACCAACAGCACCTGAGAGGCTCATCCCCGTTAGACGCCATTTACGCACAGCAGTGAGTTGGTTACTGTTTTCCCTCTGCTAGTCTTGTGTAGGCTCCTCCCCTTAACCTCATTTGGTATATACTTTACTAAGCAGGTACTAACAATCGCATAAGTACTCAGTGAATACTATGATTAATGATTAGTGAATAATAATTAATAGTTGGTATTTATGTAGCCCATGCATCCCACCCACAGTGCTTTCCACGGACAGTCACAGGAACTGTTTACCACAGTAACCTCACAATAAACTTGCTAATTGGATGTCAGCTCTATTTTAACGAAAAAGAACCTTAAGTGTTGAAGAATCAAGAGACCTATGCTGGTTCATATGCTAATTAATAAAATTAATCATTAATAACATTTAATAACAAATAGTAATAACAATAGGTATTTGAAATCAATCTCCTCGTGGATTAAATTTTTTCTATGTATATGTCCAACTGAGAATGACCCTAGGAAAGCCTTTTTATATACTAAAATGACATTTATTTTATTTAATAAATGCTTTGTCACACATCCTGGGTCTATCACTCCAAGTTAGTTAACAAAACTATTTTCAACTGTAAAAAGTTATTTTCACCTTTAATAAGTTAGCGAGTAATACATATTTATTGTAGAAACATGAGAAAATAATTCAAGGGGGAAAGTCCACAATCCCACTATCTAAAGTCAACACCTATCAGGGCCAGCGGAGTGGCTCAGCTGGTTAAGAGCTCGCTCAAGAGGGTGTGCTCTGAGCAACAGAGGTTTGATGCTGGGCCCAAGCTGAGCTGCTGCTAAGCTGTCAACAGGTGGCAGGATGGCTAAGCTAAAAAACAAAAAAAAAGTCAACAACTATCAACAGATATCTACCTTTTCACACATTTGTCTATAAGGATATGTACACCCCTTTGTTTGAACAGAAAATGGGATTTTTGTATATATAGTAGATATGAGATGATAGATAGATCAGATAGCTTTGTAAACAGGCTTTTAACTTAATGGGGGAGGAGATGAGTATATTTGCATGTTAAATATACATCTATGTTCCCATTAATGATTGCATGACTTATAAGCCAATCCTCTATTTTTGTATATCTAAGTTGTCTCACATTTCTTCTATTATATAACAAAACTCTGTGATAAACTTGAACTTCATGGGCTTGTCCAAGTGTAACTTTCAGATGAGTTCCTGGAAGTAGGTCTTATAGGTCAATGATAAGAAACTATTTTTGAAATGTTTTTCAAATGAAATAGAGGTGATAAAACAGACTTAGGGGCACGATAATTTTTTAGTACATTGATGTACTTAAAACTTTCTTAAACCAGATAAAACTCCAACTGTTTTTTACAATGTGGCCAAAGAACTTAGAGTGTTCCACATTTCAGCCCCTTCAAGCTATGAAAACAAACAGATGAAAGGCATAGAAATCTTACATTGACTTGGAAGACAACACATATCCTAGTTTCAAAACTTTTTATTATTTCTTTAATCAAATGAGAATTAAAAGTTAAGCAGAAAAAAAGATGAACCCACATTTGTAAAAATGGATCTCTTCCAATTTTTAAAGAAACTTTATTTTTTATTTTTCTGATTCAAGAAATACATGTTCATTATAGAAAATCTGGAAAATACATAGAATAAAGAAAATAGAAATTTCCTAGAATACACCCATACATAAGAGAGCCTCACAGTTCTACTATTTTCTACACGTGTATTTTTTTTAAGTTTGCCATTCTCCTCTCCTCCACCCCACCCACCAAAAAGTGGCCTGTGACCTCCACCACACTATTTCATCCTCACTGCAGGCCACTCTCCTTGCTGAGCTATGGCCTATTTCCTTGTTTACTTCCCGATTTCTGTATAAATGCACAACCCACCCCAAAGCTGTGCCAAGGACCCCGTGCTCTCAGAACTGCTGACACCCAGCCTAAGGGGAGAGCTCAGAGTTAGCTTCTGCTGGTCTTCACTGCAGAGCCAGCCTCCTCCCCCAGTAACACCTTGAAGATTTACCTCAGCTGACCAACATCTTAAGCAGTAACTAATACCTCGTAACATGTATATAGCACTTTAAAGTTTAACAAGTTCTCTAGCACTCATTTGTCACAACAGCCCTCTGAAGTCCACAGAGCAAACATCCCCATTTAACAGGAAAGGAAACTGAGGTCAAGATCACAGCTAGTGAGTGGCAGAGCTTGGATTCGAAGCCATAGCCTGACTTCAAGGTCAGAGCTCTTTCCCTAGCAACTATTAACAAACCATTTCTAAGTCTGACAACTAGAATTAAGAGCCAGAGGATCTTCAATAAATCATCTAACCTAATCCTTTCTTGGTATTCACATATAAGGAGAGTAAGTCCCAGAGAAGCTATGTGACTGCCCAATGTCACCAGCTATTTAGTGATGAAGAAGCTCTAGAGGCACAGTCTTCAGACTTCCAGGCCAGTGCTCATGCCCGTCGTCCCTAGAGAGATGGTCTTTAATAAGCTGGCCTCTCAGCCGGTGTCTTCTGCTTAGCCAAATGTCACCCAGGAATTAAAATCCTAAAAGTGTAGAATGTTAGAGCCAGAAGAGACCTTAAAGGCCACCCAGGAGAACCCGCTCACTTTAGAAATAAGGAAGGTGAGGTCCAAAGCCCAGAGCTTCCCATGAGCAAGGTCTACACACCTTCACTCATCCTGTCACTTCCATTTTAGGGTAGTTATAAAGACAATCTGGGTGTGATAGGCCAGAGATCAGCAAAGCTAAAGTGAACTAAATTTGATTTGAATTCAGAAGATACTCGGCTGTAACACATATGCCGCCCCCCTCCATAACTGTATCACATAACTGTATCTGGGCTCTAAGCAGGCTCCCCCATCCAGACTGGGACAAGGCCTATTGAAATGAGCGTGTGTCTCAGGAAAGGGTACCACTGGCCCTTTGGAAGTCACCCATCCCATTCCCCTGTGAAAATGTAGCAATATTGTTTTGCTAAAGTCTTCTACTCCACAAATCAGCCTGGAATCCTAACTATAAAATGGGCAGCACATCACCAGGGCTGTCACAGTTCCCTGACCGGCAAAAGACCCAGACCCTCCTCCCATCTACAGCAGCTCGTGAATGTATGGTATGCTGTCTGATTCTTTAGCATTCCACGATTCTAGGGTAGCCTTTTCTCTCTAAGGAGCTGGCAAGCCCTCTGAAGGCAAGGAACCACTTCTTCTTTGGAACACATACTACATGCCAGACACTGTTTGGCAAGGTCAGATATGGCCCCCACCTTCAAGAAACTTACAGAAGGATAAACGAAACCATGTGCAAAACCAAGCGCAGTCACAGAGGTGTAAACAGGAAGCCTAGGAGCACAGGAGGCGAGCATCTACTGGTCGGGTGGCATGCTGTGACAGATCTCAGTCTTAAAGTGCTAGTGGAACCGTCGGGGCAGAGGGAGGCAGCGGGCAGGCCGGCAGCGTCAGCACAGGGAAGGAGATAACCTTTCGATGTTGCTGGAGCCAGGTGCAAGCAGGGAGTGCTGGGGGTTGAGGCTGGTCTGGTGGGCCTAGAAAGGTGGCAGCAGGAGACAAGCCTGCGTAGACCGCACGGACCTGGCATGGGGGGCTGCCTACGCAATTCGCGGGTAAACGCACTCCGGCGCCCCCGGCGCGGCGCCGCCAGCGAGGTCTGCGGGCCGCCCGCCGGCCCCCCGCGCACCTGTGCGCCTCCGCAGCTGCCCGAGCGAACGCAGCTGCCTATAACCTACTCGTTTCGAACGCGGCCGCCCGCACCCGGCCCCGCGTCTCTCCGCCCGGGTGAAGACGCCTGTTGACGCGGTGGCGGTGCCTGTGCGCCGGCGGGTGGCCCCGCGGCGTTCTCTGCAGTAGCCACGGGTTTGCCTGACGGCGATCCCTACGGGCCTCCCGACCCCGGGCTGGAGGTACCGGGGAGGCGCAGGTCCCTCGGCCGGCTGCCCTGGGCCCGCGCGGCGGCGGGCAGGCCCGTGCCACCTGGGGCTGGCGCAGGGCGCAGCGCCGAGACCATGCTCAGGAAAGCGCGGCACGGGACGCACAGCGCGGCCGCCTGCTCCCCCCGCCTGGGCTCCCTGCCGCCGGGCCGGGGTTGGGGCGCGGGCCGGGCCGGGGAGGCGCCAGGCCGGGGGCATTACCTGGCCAGCGTGGTTTTCCCCGAGCCCGGGAGGCCTCGCAGAAGGTAGAGGCGTTTCCTAAAGCTGTGGCGCCGCGGGGTTGTCCCGCGCGGGGGCGGAGGGGCCGGCAGCCGAGGCTGTGGCTGCTGGAGGCTCAGCCTCCCAAAGGATTCGAGAAAACCCTCCTCCATGGGGTGGGGGCTGCAGCGCGGGCCCCGGGTTCCCTTTCCTGAAGTCCCTGCCTCGGCCAAAGCTGTTGTTTTTGTGGTGCTTCGGCCATGTGATAAATGGAGGGGCGGTGCTCGGAGCCCAGCCCCTCCTCCCCACCCGCCGAGCCGCGCTGCGGGGGAGGGGGCGTCCCTACCTGGAAGCTGGGGACGCCGGGAGACCGACAGCCGGGAAACGCGGAAGACGCGAGCCCCCTCCCTGAGCCCCCTCCCTGCCTCCCGGTACCCTGCGCCTGGAAGAGGACCGCCTATGACAGTGGGATACTGCCGGGCCGCCTGGAAGCCAGTCCCTCCCCCGCCCCACCCCCCGACGGCCTGGACCTTGAAAGTGAAATAATTTTAGTTGACGATTAAAAAACGTGGACCACATTTTGGATAGTAACAGTAAAGGCCAATGTCTCCCCCACTGTGAGTACCAATATCTGGCAGAGTCCCAACAGCTAACACCATTCCCCCAAGCCTGTATCATTTCATTTTTTTATCCTTCTTTATCAGCCTGCCAAAAATATTCTTAGAAAGCTTTGCTGCCTCTACATAACTTTAAATATCTTCCTCCTCAGAAAAAGCACCCCTTAAAACTCAGATTGATCTGTGCAGAGTAGCGTAAACTCGGTCTCCTGAGAAGGAAGGTACATGCCCTGTTGTCACCTGAAGAGCTGTGGCCTCTCTGGGACCAATTTCAGCCCCCAAGGAAGGGAGCAGTCCACGGAAACCATTTACAGAGAGGAGTAGCCACAATTAAGTGCCAGTTCCAGGAACTGGTGAGCACCCGTTGGTTGGTCACCATCGTACCCTCCAGTATTTCACACTCAAGACTGTGCTAATGTGATCTTCTGACAGAGACACTATTAAAAATGAACACCACCCTGGAAAAATCCATGGTGGCTCTAGCTGTAATAATGATTGTAAAGTAAATACATTTTGTTGTTGGCAGCTAAAGCATGAAAATTTTGAAAAGAAATTGTGAAACAAAAGTCACTTCCTTCTGAAACAAAACCCAGAGATTCCCCAGTAAGCTTTGGAAGGGACTCTCCAAGTAGGGAGGATTCCTTGCTGAGAACTGCACCTTCCCCTGGGGGCTTCCCTGGGAGGGTGGGGACAAGGAGATGAGCCCTCTCCCTTGAAAGTCCCTTCCCAGCACTGGAGGAAGAATACCTTGTGATTCTTCTTCTGAAAAACAGTGGAATTTCAAAAGTTTCTCTAAGTATTAGGGGGAAACCATAAGGAACAGAGACTATATGTGAATCATAAAAACAGTGATGCTCCTAATGCATGTATCCAATCGCACTTCTTACGAAAGTACTTTGGCATGGCCTCCAGTACTGCCGTGTTCATTCTAGACTTGCACTGTCCAGACCAGGAGCCATGAGGCACAGGTGCCTACTGAGCTGAAGCATGGCTATGCAAACTGAGATTAAAATACATACTGAATTTTGAGGGTTCAATATGGAAGCAAGAATGTAAAATAGCTCAATAATTTTTATACTGACTACATGTTGAAATGATGGTATGATAGGTTAATATATTATTAAAGTTGGTAATTTCACCTGTTTCTTTTCACGTTTTTAATGTGGCTACTAGAAAAGTTTAAATTACATATGTGGCTGGCATGTTTCTATCAGACTTCGGTGTACCTCTATTTCCTCCTGTGGAGGGGGTCCCAGCCATTGTGGGAGAGGGCAGCAGAAAGGCACAGCTGTGGGGACTGGAGGCTTTGGCACACCCATCTGCAATGCCTGTGGCAGCCGCAGCAGCCTGGGAGATGCTGAGAGATGCGTGTTGCTCAGAAGAGGTCTGAGCTGGAGACAGCTTTGGGAATCCTTGCCACTGGAGAAGGAGCTAGAGAATGGGACAGATAGCTAAGGAGGGGACCTTAGGGACACCAACATTTAAGGACTGTGCCTTTGAAATGGCTCTATTGAAAGATCAACAAAGCAGACAGAACTCGAGACATAGGTGTGTGGAGGCCCAGAGAGAGTTTCAAGGAGAAAATGGTCGGCAGCACCTGGAAGTGACCCTAGACGCTTTTCCTTTCTTTCAACTCCCAGATTTAACTAGTCAATAAGCTCTGGCTGTTTTCCCCATTTCTCAAAACCAGACCATCGAAAGTTATTGCTTTGTATCTGTTTCCTCCAACTAGACGGTAATATCTAACACAGTGCCTGGTATTCAGAAGGTGCTCACTAATTGTATGTGGACCTGAACTACTGTCTCAGTAGATGAATCTGAGTTTGGGATTTACGAAAGATTAAGACTGAACAAAGACAGTAGTAATGCCAGCTAGGGAGCAATGTAAACAGAGTCAGTGACCATCCGGACAGAATTGAGAGCCAGCTTGCTACTGGCTGTGCTCACATCCTTCCTGGTCCCATTGAGACGGCAGCCTCCAGACAGTTGGGCTCCCCTGAGTCAGAGGATCCCTGTGATAACATTCCTAGTGCCCTCAGTCCATCCAACTTTTTAGCTCTAGGGTTCAGTTCCATCTCTTCATTACAGGATAACCAGCACAGTCTCACTTTGCTGGCACTAGAAATCATTACTACAATGGATATAAAAAAAAATAATCTTTAGTCATTTTTGGCAGATGAAGAAACATTCAAATGTTTCTCTAACTGTTACTGTTTAACAAGATGTGGAAAATGACCAGGCACACAAGGAGAGCTAGTGGAAACGGGAAACGTCACCCTCAAACCTACAGCTCCAAATGAGCCCGGATTTGGGGTGCTTCGTTATAACCAGCCCAGGCTCCTCCCCAGGAGATGCCAAGATGGCAGAAAGTCCAAAACCAAGGTCAGCTCCCACAGTGGTTGAACCCGAGACCCTGTGACAAAGCAGAGCCCTTTTAAATGTACAGGGACTCTCTCTGACCCTCTGTCGTTCCTTCCCCTGCCAAAAACTTCTTTTTGATTTTTTTCTCATAACATAAATCAGTCTTATACATATATATGTGTTCATCTTGTTACATATGAGGTCAGACTATTAAGTTAGCAAATTTGCTGCAACGATGTTGCTAACCTTTTTGATATCAGAGGGACTATTCATTATGAATTTGTACCAACCGGACAAACAGTTAACCAAGTTTACTATTTGGAAGTGCTGCAAAGCCTGTGAGAAAAAGTTAGATGACCTGAACTTTTCACCAACAATTCATGGCTCTTGCATTACCACAATGCAGCAGCTCACACGGCACTATCTGTGAGGGAGTTTTTAGCCAGTAAACAAATAACTATTGGAACACCCTCCCTACTTACCTGATCTGACCCCCAATGACTCCTTTCTTTACCAAAGATAAAGGAAATATTGAAAGGAATACATTTTGATGACATTCAGGACATCAAGGGTAATATGACGACAGCTCTGATGGCCATTTCAGAAAGAGTTCCAAAATTGCTTTGACTGGTGGAGTAGGCGCTGGCATCAGTACATAGCTTCCCAAGGGGAGTACTTCGAAGGTGACTGTAGTGATGTTCAGCAATGAGGTATGTAGCACTTTTTCTAGGATGAATTCGCGAACTTAATTGTCAGATCTCGTATATATTAATAAGTGATATGAGCTAAGAGGACAGAAGAGAAGTCACCTTGGCCTGCATAGCTCTTTGGGTGGTGGGCTCCTGGCTGCTCCAGCACCTACTGCCACAGAGGGCACTATCTGGCCAGTCTGGTAGGACCCTGGCCTTCTCCTTACCTAACACGCTCCCTCCTTGCTCTTCCCTCACCCTTCCCCTAGAAGCAGGAAGGAGCTGCAGGAAGCTGGAAGAGGTTAGCAGAACAGAGACAAGGGAACAATGATGCAGAATTCACTTGGCTGAATTGACAGGGGCTGTGCTCAGACTGGGATGAGTCTGCTGATGCAGAAATGTCCTTTGGACAAGCCTGATGTTGCCCATTCTGCCCCAAGTGCCTCTGACTCCTATACCCCATCACTCACTCTTCTTGGTGTCACGCTACACACCTACAGCGAGGGCCATGTCTTCTACTTCCCACAGCGCCTATTATCTGCCACTGCGCACCGGGGCACTTGGAGAGTGTAAGCTTTGAGGAAGAAGCCTGGAAAGGGGGAAGAGTAGCCCCAGCCCATTTGTCTAAATCTTCATTCTGTAAATTAGGACAAGGTGAAAGCTGGGGGCATCTGGAACCGAGTACTTGCCTAGGTGGACAGTCAGCTGGTTGCATCAGTGCAGCAGGAAGGTGGTCAGAAGTGGTCTCTACCCATGCCACCCTCACTGTTAAGGTTCATAATACGACCCTCGGTCATGACCGGGCTGGGGTTGATTCTAATGTACTCACTGGATATCCATCAATGTCTGTCAGAGGGCCCTAAAAAGCAAGGGTTTGCCAGATGCCAGAGTCCCCTCCTCAGCCGTCTATGCTTCCATCCCAATCCTGGCCAGCTCTTCCCTGAAGTCATCCCACTCCAGGCCAAAGGCAAGTCCACTTTCACAGGGCCTCTGGGATCCTGAAGAGAGAGCAGGACCCCTGGGAAATTCAACCAGACTCCAACCCTGGTCCACAGTCTGGAAGAGACCTACAGTCCAGGAAAAAGAGAAACTAAAACTATATAAAATGACCATAAGGAAAACATTGAGCTATTTTAAATAAAGCACTCAATTTCCAATAAAGATGGCAGATAGAACACAATATTTAACTTCCACTCCCTCCCTGAAAACCCACTAAAATGTAATGGATTGGGTTTTTTTTGGTGGTGGTGAGGGAGGTTGTTTTGTTATGATTTTTAAGCATAAGCTATAACAAAAGAGAGAGAAGGTCACAGCAAACTGAAGAGCAAAGGTCAAATGTTGATTAATTTGACGTGCGCACTATAGTTTACCCTGCATAACCCTTAAAAGTTCAGGAACTGGAAGGTTTGGGACTAGAAGGGGGCTCTAAACAGGAAGGTCGGGTTGAAAGTCTGTTTAAGAAACAAACAAGCCCAGAACCAGGCCACCCACCGCCCCCAGGGAAACCTGGAGAAGATAAGGATGGGGAGGAGTGTGGGGAGAAATAAGACAGGCGGGGCTCCCTTTCTGAAAACAGAGGGATTAAGTCAGTGCCAACTCCTTGACTTATA